TTTTTCCTTTGGTGCCGAATACTAAACTATTAAAGTAACATTAAATGGAAACTAAACTTACATGTAATTTAAGCGTATGTTGTGTGTTGTGTATGAATGAAAGTATACAATTGAATTGTTCATACATGGCGGGAATAGTAAAATATATTATATATATATTTTTGTTTTTGGTATATAATGTGGTATAAAATGGTTAAATTAATTTTACTTATATTTTATTATTTTGATATTATAATGTAATTTTTATAGTGTCACGTAAAAAGTAATTATACTGTGATTCTTTCCTATATTATATATTTACATAGTAGTTAAAATTTTCAAAATAAATAGTTAAAATTTTAAAATTTTACAATTACATATGTTATTTTAGTTTTTATGTGAATAATATATAGTTAAATATAAAACTAAGTTCATTAATTTATTTTATATACAAGTGATTTAAATTTTAAATTATAGTGAAATTCTAATTAATATTGGAATAATATACATTAAGGTTGAATGTATAATTTATATTTAGTATTGCAAATTTTTTATATACTAAGTATATCATTTCAGAACACAGTATTTAGATAGTGAATTTATACTAGATATATAGAATGTTATATATTAAGTATATTGAATTTCAATTGGGTTTTATACATAGGAATAAGTTATGTTATGTATGTTGTACTAAAAAATGGTTGTTCTACAATTTTTCGAAATAACAATTAGACTGAAATTATAGCGTTATATGATATTTTGAATTATTTTATGGTTTAACTTGTATATTCCAATACTAAAATTCAAAATAATAATTAAAATGCAAGGACATGATATTAAAGCTGCATTCACAAATTTCCGCTAAATTAAAAATATTTCCCAAAATGTTTCAAGGGTATTATAAACGTAGATTCAAAATTTTTCTTCAAATATTTCTTATTTACATATTCACGTAATTTTATTTATTTCTTACGCAATACCATTTTGTAGTAAATATAATATTATCACACTTACTTACAATTTAACATCCTATACGTAATAATGTGTACATGATTATAAAAATGTAAGTGATAGTGAAAGAAAAGGAATTTCGTTTCTCCTTTTAAAATTAAATTTATAGCATACAAGTGACTAGGATTTGTTTTTTTTATTTTTATATACATACGTACATATATAAAGTATATAAATTTTTAAAAACGTGCTGTTTATGTTTTTTTTTTAAGGATGTATTATATAGATGACATCAATGATGCCAACATTTTGTAGTAATAAATTCAAAGGCAATATTAATTTCTGCAACAAGAATGATAACAAATCGTGAATATACAAATAAAGTGTGTATTTTAGAAAAAGTCAGAGATTATGTTAATAAATATTTTAAAAAAATTTTTGAATTTTGACGTGTATGTTATTTCGAATAATATTGGTAGTAGTCATTCAAATATCCGAGCCAACACTTTGTTATTTAATTTTCAAATGAAAAAATTTTAATATTAAGTTTCAGATTTTTAATTTTAAAATTTTGTAATGCAATTTGTTAAAAATCATTATGGGTATTATATAAAAATGATTGGTGAAAATTTCGAAAATGAAACTAATTTCGAAAATATGTAATTTCGAATATTATTTTGAAAATTGTTTCGAATATACGTATGTACGTAATTTCGAACATGATTTCAAAAAATAATTAATCTATGATAATGATGTAATTTCGAATTTGATTTCGAAAATGATTACAAATTCGAAATTGATTTTGAATACGATTTCGAATAAAATTTCGAAAATGATTTCGAATATGATTTTGAATATACGAGTAAATTCAAGAATAATTTCAAAAATTCTTTAAATAATAGTTTTCGAAAATTTCGAAAACTCGTCTCTTCGGGTGGAGGTTTACTTAAAACGAGTATAAAATTCAAATGGGATTTCGAATTCCTACTACGCTGTACTTTGTATTTTAGAACATAATTTTTTTTTTTTTGGGAACGAGACGCCTGTTTGCCTTTTTTGCAATAATGCCAAATAAATCAAAATCAGAATTTTATTCTTTTTAAGAAAAAATTTTATAAGTTTTTGAAAAGAACATTATTTTTTTTATATACAATATACTTACATACATACAAATTGTATAAGTTTATATCATTTCAAAAAAAAAAATATAAGTAGCAACTTTTTTTTCTTTTTTTTTTGTTGAAAAGTTCTTAAGAGTTTTGTTAACATTTTTATGGTGGTGTGATACAAAATGAATAATACAACAAAAACAAATAAATGTTAAAATCCTTGTTAAATAAAGAAAAAAAAATGTTTGAATTGAATAGTGTGTTTAAAATATAAAAGTGAATTGACATGAAAAAAAAAAGTTCATTTTTTATTTCATTTTACTTTTCTTTTTTTATTTCCAGTTTACAAAACTCAAATCGAATTTTCTCTCTTTAATATTATTGAGAATTGGAAAAAAAAAAAGTTGTGATGGATTTTGTGCTCTATTGTATGACTTGTTCGATTTATTTTGCCCTCAATATAATTCAAATGTCATCATATTATTGATATACACACGTACTTGTATACATTATGGGTTATAATGTATAAGAATTTATGTGTGCATGTACTAGACGTATGGATATAGAAAAAGTATTATAAAATTGGAAATTTTTTATAACTATTGATAATAAATTTTTTCTGAATAGTATGAGAAGAAAATTTGCTAAACTAAAAAAAAAATATCTAGGTTGAAAATAAATAAAAAATTAAATTTTGTTTTTTTACAATTTCATAATTGAAAGGACACCATTACAAAAAAAAAGGAAAAACTCAAAATAGTTTTGAATACAATTTCGTTATTTAATTCACTTTTCCAATTAATATCACACCAGTTTTTTTTTATTATTTTAATAATAAAATTACTAAAAATAATAATAAAAAAATGTGACTTTTTTTTATACGTGTAAAAACGATTTATGTGCGGTTTTTAATTTTAAAACCAAAAATTGAATATTTTGTTGTAACATCAATCAATTTTAATTATTTTTATTATTTTTATTATATCGGTTATAAATTTATATATAATTAATTACAATAATGTTTGGGTAATTGAACTGCTTGAAAATATTTAAAATAAAATATTTATGTCAAAATTTAACGAAATATCACCAAATTTAACAAAATATCACGAAATTTAGTGATATATCACGAAATACAATGAAATATCACGAAGTCAAATGAAATATCACGAAATTTGATAAAATGTCACGAAATATAACAAAATATAACGAAATTTAGTGACATATCACGAAATATTATAAAATATCACGAAATTCAACAAAATAACACGAAATATAATAAAATATCACGAAATTTAATGAAATATCACGAAATATAATAAAATATCACGAAATTTAATGAAATATCACGAAATTTAATGAAATATCACGAAATTTAATAAAATTTCACAAAATTTGACGAAATATCACTACATTCAACGAAATATTACGAAATTTAACGAACTTTCACGAAATTACACGAAAATCAATAAAATTTCACTAAATTCTCTCATTATGTTCAGGACTCCTTATCATTAGAACTCCGTTATTACTCGGATATTCATAATGATTCAAGGGAGCAGAAACATATTTCGCTAAGTAATATCTACAAAACTTTCTTACACGACAATTAAAAATAAAAACTGCTTAAGTCGGTTTTGTTATTTTTGCTGAATTTTGAATTTAATTTACATTTTTAAAGGTTCAATTCCATTTTCTACTTAAATTCGATAACCTCAATTTTAATATCGAAATTGTATTTTTCGGAAAATATTCTTTAAAAATTTTTTAGATTAGTTATTTCTCAGCACAGCTATATGAACTAGTTATAGAGAAATTTTTATTTTAATTTTGATCTAAAAAATAAAAATATTTTAAAGGATAATGAAATTTTTATTAAAAAATTTTTTTTTTCCAGACATTGCTGTACGGATGTTGTTATTTCTATATTATGTTTTTTTTTATTTATAAAAATTGACTTTTATAATAACAATAAATATTGTTAATTGTGTCCACATAACATGTAAATATTTTAATTGCTGGCCGCATATTGTGAACATAATTAAAGTAAATTTTATTATGTAGTTTAAATTTAATATTGTTAATATTTTTTATTTTAAAAATATTTTTCTCTTGTACTTTTTTTTTTTTAAAAAGTTAAATTTAGAATTTAAGAATTGAAATTTGAAAAAAATATTATGTAACTGACAATGTCCCGTTGTGATTGTGTCATCCCACGTCATAATAATTGATTGTGGTTCAATGTTTTTATATTATAAATGTGCAATATGTAAGAAGCTGGGAATGTAATGGTTTAGAATTTACAAAAAGTAAAATCCAAAAAATCACTCAAAAAATTCCTCAAAAATGAGTATTTTCTGGAAACCAAAATAAATTCTAGTGTTTTTTTTATCGAAAATCAAATGAAGTTTTTTGAGTTATTTATATATGTATAACTCACAAAATTGCACTCTAAAACTGCTACTTAAGAATGGCACTCAAAGTTTTCGCGCTTTGGTGGAAATACTCAAAAAATATCACTCAAAAACGAGTTTTTTTTTAAATATGTAAACATTAATTGAGTTCCAATAATGATGAGAGCCAGTTTAATTTACCGAACACATTAAAATGACATATTAAATGAGAAGCAATGAGATTTTCATTGCCCAACCTTATAGTATTTTGGTAAATGAGTTATTTTTGACTTTAAATAATTGAAATAATTGAAAGTCCTTTAAATTTCTTACCGGATTTACCATTTTTTATGCATATTTTCACATGAAGATTTTCTTAATTAATAAAGCATTCCAGTAATTCACTATTTTATACATTTATTAATTAATTGAAAAAAGAAAAGAAGTTTATAATTTTATATTAAAAAGTTTTTAATTTGATTAAAAAAATAAGTTATTTAAAAAAAAAAAAAACAAAAAATTTATGTAATTTATTAAATGACCTTTTTTTGCTTTTCTTCTTTTTCAGACATTTACAAAGTAAAATGGCATCTAAATAACAGTAAAATTTTATGAATTAATGACAAAGAAAAATTTATTTTTTTTTTTTTTTTAAATGGAAATCATAGTAGTTAAAGATTGAAGTAAAAAAACAAAGTAAAACTATATAGAAGGAGAAACAAAGGAGGGAGAGAGAAAAGGAATAAAAAGTAACAGAAGAAGAAGAAGACAAGAACAAAAAATTTTTAATGTCATTTAAATCCTTTAAAGTTAATTACTACTAATTTCTTCCTGATGTAAATTGAGAAAATTTTTATTGAAAAAATTTAAACAAAATAAAATTAAGGAAAAGTACGAGTAAAAAAAGCACTTCAGCAATTAAAAATAAGTAAAAAGGAGCAACAAAAAAAAAGAAACATGAAAGCGTTATTGGAACTTAAAAAATTTTTATTAATTTTCAATTTTTACATAATTTATTTGCAATTTTCAATTGTTGGAGTCGGTTCAATAATACCTTATATTAGTAATAGTAAGTATTTTATAAAATTTATAAATAAAATTTTTAATTTAAAATTTTTTAATTGTTAAAAAATAAATGAAAATATAGGAGATTTTTTGTAAGAGATAAAAAAAAGAATTTTGCATACTTTTAGGGGTATATGTTAACATTTTTTATTCAGCTCTTTTAATTAAAAATCAAGTGGTGATCAAGTGATTTACAGTGGCGAGAATATTTGCTTTATTTTTCATATTAATTAAATTTTGAAGCAATATGTGGTTTTACCTAATAGAGAGACTTACGTTTCAACGGAGTGCAAAATATTAAAAATAATGAGATTTTTTTGTGAATTTTCTTATAAATTGCAAACTTGAGATTCTTGTTGCTTTTGCAATCCAAGCTTATTTTGATGCTGTCGTGTAGGATTTCTTTAAAATTTCAAATATTGATAAGGTTTTATTATATATAAACGATTTCTTAAAATTCATGTTCTCTGGAATTTAAAAAGCCTCCAAATCTAAAATCTTCAATTTGGTGTTTAAAGATTGGAAATCAAATTTCGTATTTTACGTGACGAGGGCAAACATAGAGTCAAAATCAAAACTTAAATAAATTTTCACAAAATCTTATTTTTATATTATTTTAAGGATTCATTGTATAAAACTTTATTGTTTTTGATGTATAGAAGGGTAAAATTTTTAAATATAAAAGATTAAAACAAAACAAGCAAAACCAATTAAATTTAAATGGAATTTTCATTTTGTTTTGCTTATTTTTTTTCGCAATGCTTCAATAATCAAAAGTAAATTAATGAAACATAAAATAATATTATAAAAAAATTTAACATTGAAAATATAAAAAACTAAAACTTACAACAAAAATAAAAAAGGATAAATAAAAAATAATTCTACAATTTTTTCTTCTAAATGAAGAATTAAATGAAAAATCTGATTCATTGCTTAACAAATGAATGAAAAGATGGGAACGTAATTTTAATGGCTTCATTGAACATGATGTACATTCTAGTCTGAATGAAATTGAATAAAACTATATAGGAAAAATAAGAACAAATAATTTTCAATATTTGGAGGGAATCAAAATGTGTATAAATTTAGTTGAACTATCAATAATTGCTATTTTCTGATCTAACTTCCCATATAAATTAGATCTGATGCTTAAGAAAAGAGGAAACGAGCTGAAACGCAAAATAATTTAATGTAATTTACGAATTTGCATTACATAGTTTCACATGCTGGAACTCTGATAAATTTATTAAGAAATTGTGTGGAAGAAGAGATTCAAGTTAGCAAATATAAATTTAGTATTTGGACTTTATAGCTGAAAAATCGTAGAGTTCTGGTGAAATATTAAAATTTTAATAAATAAAACAAATTTATAATTAAAACTAAATTATTAATAAAATTAAAATAAAAACATACACCGTCCTGTACATTTCAAACAAAAAAATATTTTCTGTATGACTTACAACATTTTGTATGATAAGCTTTAATGTCTCAATAATAAGTATGTCGTGAAGCTCTTCATACATTCGTACTTTCCTCTATATGCTCTAAACGTATTTTAATTAAATTTAAGTAAAATAAATTTTGTATACAAATACAAGAAAGAATTTCTTTCATACTATTAGATCATACAAAATTTTAAATATTGATGACTGGGTGAATTTCAAATTTAAAAGATTTCTACGTTAACTGTACTTATAGAATTCAATGGATTGTCAAAAAACTCAACAGATTTGCATATTTTTTATGACCTTCTCATATATTTGTTTTTGTTTTTCTCTATTAGGCCAATATTGTGTAAAAAAAACTTATTTATGCTTGATTTACTCTCTTATAACTTAAAAATTAAATTTAGTATGACGAGCAGAGGCTAAAGCTTTTCTGTTCTGTTTCAAACAAAAAATAAAAAGTTAAGTACAAAATTCTAGCTAATTGAATTTCTCAAAATCCTACTATGATATGTCAGTATGAAAGTGGAGAAAAGAAAAACAACATAAAAAACAAAAAAGAAGAAGAAAAGAGTAAAAAAGAGTGTAGGAAAAGTTTTTGATCTCTTATTTATTTTAATTTTTTATTCTCTTTTACACTCTTGTTTTATTATTTTCATTTCTTCTTCTTCTTCTTTTTTGTTTTCATATTGCTTTTATGGTATTTAATCTGGATTAAAGGTTTCTCAAACTCCTTTAAATAACGAAAGGGTTATTCTTGCATTACATAATTTCCTATATACACGAATGAATTTCTCATTCTTTCTTACTTCCTATCCACATTGAGTTAGGAAGCAGAACAAAAAAAAAAAACAAAATGTGAAATGAAATAAGTAAAACAGAACAGAAACAATAATATTGAGTAACATAAGCAGATCAGGATATAATAATAGCAGCAAAAAAAAAAAAATAAATCCTTCGGGTTAAGGACTAAAACATAAAAGTCACAAAAATTTGTTTATTCATTCTTCTTATGCCTCTTCGTTTTTTTTTTTTTTTGTGTTCATTTTTCGTCTTATTTCATCTAAATTACACTCAAGAGATTGATTTTTTTTTTCTTCGTTTTTCATTTAATGTGTTATTGCAAGGATTAAATAAAATGGAACACAACTTTGAATTATAAAAGATGAAGACGAAAAAGAAAAAAACATAAATTCTAAAATGTTATTAGGGAATAAGAACAGCAGCAGATCGATAGATGAGCCCGTATAAAGAAAGAGATAAAGCGTGATAAGGAGAGAAAGAGAGAAAAAGAGAGAGAGAGAGAGAGTAAAAGTATAAATTGTATTAGAGGATAAAAGTAAAAGTTGTATTGGGAGTTTTAAAATGAAAAACATTGAAAAAAAATGTAAATAAAAAAAAAAAAATTGCATATTTCAGAATATTAAGGCCATCATCATCTTGTGATATATGTATGTAGAAATCATGATATTGATATTGACATAAATAAGATGAATGGGAAGAAAAGCAGGCACGTGTACAAAACAATATAGAGGCATTGTTTCATTTTTTAATTCTATGGCAATATTTAAATTAATCTTAAAATTTTAATGAAACTAATATTTTGCTAATTTTTAAGAAATTAAAAATTGTAATTTTAAGGAATAATCGGGTTCTGATCCCGGGGGTCTTTTTATTTTATAAAATTTTAAACCACAACCTTTTCTATTCAAAATTTATTATTCAAGAAGTTAGCCTTGAAATCATGAGCAAATAAAGAAATTTTTTTTTTTTTTTTTTCAAAAATTAAATTTGGGAATACCTTCGGTCTTTTCCTTAAATATGAATTTTTTTTTTGAAATTCCTCTATATTCATCAAAAATTTGATTTAATTAACTAACTCACAATTGCAGATCCGAAATTGTATAATTAAAGGATACTAGTTAAAATTATAAACATTGTATATAAAATAAAAATATCCAATAATATTTGAGAAGGATATGGCGACAGTGGTTTATTTTTTAAAATTTTAAAAATCAAAGAATCCTTTTATAATTAATGTCACTATTGATTTTGAAAATTGTACATGTATTTCTAAATTAAATTAATAAATAATTCATGAAATTTTAAAATTACATATTTTAAACTCATTTATATAAATCCAAATTATTTTATATTAAAAATATTTGTGATTTGATCTATGATTTTTATAGAAGAATTTATTTTATTATTGTAATTGTATAGATAGATTATTATACTATTATGATAATTAATATAATGATATTATCCTGATAGCAATTTAATGATATTATTATTATCCTGTTATATTGTGATTTAAGTTCAATAATAAAATAATATTTAAAATTATATAGGAAAATTATTTTGTTTACTAATATTTTTTTTTTATTTAAAATACATAATCCTTTTATAATACATACATATATTATTTTAGATTTTGTGACAATAGAAATTTTTGTATTTAATCACCTCTATGTATACAATTATCACCTCCATGTATAATAGTGTTAAATTTTAAAAATATATTCAAACACAATTCATGACAAATTATTATGTTGTAAAAAAAAGGATATATGAAATAGGATTGGTTTGTTTTTTTTTAGAAAACTCAATTGTTTACCTATACAATAAAATTCGATTATATTTATGCAAGTACACGCTTAAGTTGATATTAAAATTACATATACATACACACATAATATGAAATATACACTGAATTATTTTTACAATATAAAAACAACAAAAAGATGATTTAGTTTTCATTTATTCATTTTTTGTGTTTTTTTTCTCTCACAAATTATTGAATTCTTTTCCATTTTAAATAAATATACCAATTTTGATTTCATGGTGAATAGTAAAAATATGGGATTTTCAATAATAAAATTCATGTTTACATTAAAAAAATAATTTTTTTTTTTTCTCGAATATCCCAATTGATTGGATGTAGCATATTTGATAGAAAATCATAAAAACAAAACGAAAAAAAAAAAATTGTAATAAAAACGATTTTATAAAAGGATAACAAACAAGAATCGCCTGATCGAATATTCAGAGAAATATTTTTTTCTTTTGTTTTTTTTTTGGTATATAAATTCTCATATGAGACGCTTAAAAAAACAAAGTGATCCAAATCAAAAAATTGTTCATTTCGAGAAAAATTACATATAAGATTATTAGGGGAAAAAAATAATTTACTTTAAACGGTCCAATCCTGGCATTGAGAGCGATAAAAAGCAATGTTATAAACAAAAGTGCCCTTTTGCTCTTTTTCATTGGAAGAAAAATGGTGTAGCAAACTGTTCGCAAGCTAGTCTTTCATGAAACCAGATAGTGAAGGAATTTTTATGGCAAAATTTTGTGAATGCATTTAATTCATTACTTAAAAAAGCGATCTAGATT